TCTAACAGCTAATGCAAAACAACTCAGCCCCATAACCTGGGGGCGATCTCGCTCCTCGTCGCCGTGGTGACGCAAGGGGCCTACTTCCTTGCTGAGATGCTAGGATTCCGCCGGTGTAGGGATTTCATTAGTGAGGTGAAATAATAGCATTGCCAGGGTCCTTAATAGGACGTGATTTTGTTAGGCAATAAGAGATACACAGTGGTGTGTGATTTTTTAATAATTCAGTGTTATTGTAAAAGGAGTCCGTAAGGGGTGGATAGAATGGCGTCGCTGGAAAACTGAGAAAAGAGGAGTGAGAGATGTGTATTTCGGATGCTTTAGAGAGTCACCCTATGCTGGCATTTTCATGAGTCAATAATTACCCAAACGGCAGGGATGACATTTTCCCTGTTGTTGAATAGTAATAAGGACTCACATGCATGTACCGATAGGACGCATGGGGAGATAGTAGCTCAGTTTAGTACCGACAAAACCGTGATTATATGTAGAAGCCAGACAACTTAGTTTAAATTAAGCAATTAAATCGTTAGATCAATATATCTCCAAGCAACCGGGAGAGAGTGAGCGGTCGGTTATACACAACAGCGAACCAATCTGTGAGTAAAGTGACGCCGAGACTCGAACCCAACACGCCATGACTTCCCTTAGAGGAAAATATTAAGAACAACATGGAGATGCAAATGAGAGCAACAAACAGCTGAAGGATATCCAGGAAAACATAGCTAAGACGCTCTCAATGCTCACCAAAACAAACAAACTGTTACAATCTGTTGTTAAAAAAAGTAGATTTGCTCAAAAGGAAAGTAGAGTCTATCGCGTGTGGATGAACAAAACAACAAAATTGTCCTTCTGGAAGCTAAGGTGCAAACTTTAGAAGATGAACTGGATCGGCTAGAAAACAAATTGTGAGAAAATAATATGAGAATATTGTCCCTACCAGAAGACGAGGAAAAAGGGGACCTTTCCATCTACGTGATCCAGCTGATATCGGAGGAGCTTGTCGTGGATGGCCTAATCACCCAACATCAGTGCCCCCACCTCACTAATGCTCTTGTGGCTGAATGGAAGCAAGTCCCTGCAGCAATGCTCCAACATCTAGTGGAAAGCCTTCCCAGAAGAGTGGAGGCTGTTATAGTAGCAAAGGAGGGACCAACTAAAATATTAATGCCCATGATTTTGGAATAAGATGTTCGACGAGCAGGTGTCCACATACTTTTGGTCATGTAGTTTACCTGGCCAATATTGAAAACTCAATGCCCCCTTTGCTAAAAATATTTTCCGAATAATACAAAATCTCAGGATATAAAATGAACGTTAAAAAAAAACAAAAGAATGGCAAAACAATTATGAAATACTTAGGATGCCTAATAAGTGACAACAAACAACACATATATAAAGATAACTTTATTCCATTACTCAACAATATGAAAGCAGATCTTATTAAATGGAATAATCTTCCCATAAATCTTACAGGCATGGCTGCCGAAGTTTTTGTATTTATTTTCGGTAATACCAATTACTCCACCAATTTTTTTTTTTTTTAAGTATACTCGGACATAACAGACTTTATATGGGTAAATAACATTCATAGAATAAAAAGGAACGTTTCACATCTTCCTAAGTCTGAGGGTGGTTTTAACCTTCCAGACTTGGAATAGTATCAACTCGCTACCCAAGGCTTTTACTTGCGACTTATAGTTAAATACACTAAAGAGGAACAATGGGGACATATTGAAGATGCTTGTGCTCATCCACAGAATCTTTGTACGTGTCTATTTTCAAATGATAACGCTAAGAACATTAACAACTTCATAGTTAAGAACACTATAACAATATGGAAGAAAATGAAACGTATTCTACAAGAACCAATACCAGTTACTAAAAACACAACCTTATGGAACAATCCTTGCATAGCTATTCAGAATTCACCGATAAATTGGTCCACATGGAAAACTAAAGGCATAGAAACCGTAAATGATTTGGTAACAGGAAAGACATTTATTTCGATGACAGAATTAAAAAGTAATTTTGGACTTTTCAAAGTGGATAGTTTCAAATACATGCAACTTAAAAGTTACATATCACAAAATGTTGATTTGAAATCTTTTGGACATCAGAGCAACCTTGAAGGAATCTTATTTGAGCCAGAAAAGGATGTTCATATGATAAGGAAGACAAAACCTTGCAGAGAGCATATCCAACGGTTTGAGCATAACTAACGAAATCACAGTGAACTAAAATGTACGCTTAATCCAGTATAAACTAATGTATAGAATTGAAGAGACTCTGCACAATGGCAGAGTCATGTCTTAAGTGTCAAACTAATAATGACTCAATAATCCATGCTTTTTGGGAATGCTATAAGGGTCCGGAAGTTGTGGGCGGAGTTAGAAAGTTTAGAAGTATTACAATCTAATTTACTTTTAATCCGTCTGTCTGCATATTTCAAGACATGGCATATGAGGGTGTAGTGAGATACCCGATGGGTTGGACAATTCTCTTCTCATCACTCATCTTGAAAAAACGTATACTAAAAACGTGGAAATCAATCAATCTGCCATCATTAACACAATGGAAAAATCGAATGATTAATTATTTAAATATTGAAAGTGCGTGGGCTACGGAGAGAAACAAAATGGTGCAGTTTCAGGCCATGTGTCGAAAAGTGATGCTGGCGCTGGAGAAGTGTGTGTGTGCTAGTGGGTCTGGGCAGGGGTGATGTAGTTGATGGAGATGGGTGTGTGTGCTAGTGGGTCTGGGCAGGGGTGATGTAGTTGATGGAGATGGGTGTGTGTGCTAGTGGGTCTGGGCAGGGGTGATGTAGTTGATGGGGTCTGGGCAGGGGTGATGTAGTTGATGGAGATGTGTGTGTGTGCTAGTGGGTCTGGGCAGGGGTGATGTAGTTGATGTTTGTATGATGTTGTCGTTTGTATGTGTATGTTTTGTATTGTTTAGAAAATAAAATAACATCTTAAAAAATAATAAGGAATTGATGCCTGTCTGAATGTCTACAGTATGGAGAACAATGCTAAATCGATGAGGACTTGCAATCATTTTGGTCATAACATCCATCAGTAACCTTTATTTTATTTTTATTTAACCTTTATTAACTAGGCAAGTCAGTTAAGAACAAATTCTTATTTACAATGACTGCCTACACCGGCCAAACCCGGACGACGCTGGGCCAATTGTGTGCCGCCCTATGGGACTCCCTATCACGGCCGGTTGTGATACAGCCTGGAATCGAACCAAGGGGTCTGTAGTGACGCCTCAAGCACTGAGATGCAGTGCCTTAGACCGCTGCGCCACTCGGGAGCCCAGGTCCTAGGTCTATGAGGGTAAAATAGAAGCATGCCATTCGGAGAAATGGTCATTCAGACGGATCCTCTACATCTGTGGATGGAATCCTTCTGATGACCAGACGACTCTAAAATTCACACACAGCGATAGAGAATAATTGACCTCCTGTGCCAGGCTTCTGAACACACATGGGTGGTGAACAAGAATGACGCACAAGCTAAAATACGAAATATTTTGGATGTTGGGCAACAAAGAAACATTTCATTGAAAAATGATTATAGCAAGGCAAAGTATTGTTGCAACGGGATGTCAGCATAAGTACAATTCTTCACCAGAACAGACTGTGTGTGCTACCTCATGCCAACTGTTGTTTTCAGTAATTTGTTACGGAATGGTAAAAATACTATTTAAAGCTTCGCTAACACCGTGCCATATTAGCTACAGTAATGAATTGGTGGGTGCGTGTGTGTGTGTGTGTGTGTGTGTTTGAACGCACACTTATGTGTATATTTGTTAAAGAGAGAGAGAGTATGCATGTGTTTTCATGGGTGTGTCTTTTGAGAATGTGTTCACACTTCACACACACAGACCTGATAAAAAAAGTGTGAAATGTGAAAGTGTGAAATTAAAAAAACACCAGAAGCCATCAAGATCCATTGCAGCAGTCTGAGAGAGACAGATCTTCCCTCCATCTGGCATAGAGCCGTCCGTGCATCACGGCGGTGTGGATACGAGAGACAAACAGTGCAGAGTAATCAGAGACACACAGCAGGGAGATCTTGTGCATAGAGAATACTGTAGAATACCCTAAAACACTGCTGGCTTAATAAGATACCCTTGATATGCTGCAGTGACTCCACATGATCAACCAGTGAGGGGATTGTAGAGGAGAGGAGAGAGCTGGCGAGAATGAACAAATAGAAAGGCTATACTTTTAAACCGGGTGGTTCAAGTCCTGAATGCTGATTGGCTGAAAGCCTTGGTATATCAGACCGTATACCATGGGTATGACAAAACATTTATTTTTACTGTTCTAATTATATTGGTAAATAGTGTATAATAGCAATAAGGCACCTCGGGCTTTGTGATATATGGCCAATATGCCACGGCTAAGGGCTGTATCCAGGCACCAGGCACTCCGCATTGCGTCGTGCTTTGAACAGCCCTTAGCCGTGGTATATTGGCCATATATCACACCTCCTCGGGCCTTATTGCTTAAATATACAGTACTGTAACTGTAAAACACGCTGCAGCCAATTTCACAAGCAGCACGAACTACAGCTGTAACCGACCTTATGACAACGTGTTATACTGTTCGTTAAAATCTTTATTTCCGGAACACTCCATTCTATTGTCCTGAGAATTTCTAGCTGTCACAGATTTACTGTTGAACTAGAGATCATCTGAGCTCTTTGACAATTTATTTACCAATTTATTTGTATTTTTCCTTACATGTCAATACATCTGAAATGCATTTACATTTGCCTCCAAGTATTCTCTAACCATGTGTCCTTTATTGGTGCAACACACTGTACATTATGTACATGTTGTAAACATACTGTTTGATTTGGTTGACTGATTGATGTATCCTCGTACAGTAGATGCACAAATACATGGAGTGATTGCTTGATGGACTGGCTGATAGATGAATAGACTGATAGATTTACAGTATGGCTCAATGCCCTATGTGACCCTACCTTGAAGAAGGTCATGGTGGATCCGTCCTCCACCACTCCATACTCTATTCTGGTCTGCTTGGCCAGGTCGTCAGCCGAGTCGATGGGCGACTCCATCCTCTCCACGGTGAGGAAGGCAGCCAGGTTGGCCGTGTAGGAAGAGATGATTATCAGGGTGAAGAACCACCAGATGCCTCCTACGATCCTGGTGGACAGGGCTTTGGGCATTAACTCAGAGCCTGGTCGGGGGCGAGAGGAGAGGAGCAGAGAGAGGGGTCAGCCCCGGCAGGGTCCTGGAGCCAAGAGGAGAGACCCAGCCAGCAGCAACCACCAGAGGACCAGCCAGAGGACCAGGGCCAGCCCAGACCTCGGCATCCCACCGGGTCACAGACAACACGCACATGCACACACACTCACACGCACGCACTCACGCACATCCACACATACCCTGGGCAGTCTAGGGCGGCAGTGCATTGTTGGGCCTGTGATGCGCATCCGGCCACATGGTGGCAGTTTGAATCAGGCTTTTACTGTGTGCTCTGGCTGCATATTATTTTAGCATTCACTCACACTGGAGAAAACTGTAGATACACCAAAGCTTCTCTTCTTTTGAGGTGCTTCGTCTGAAATCACTTAATCAAAATCCCTAGATGGTTGATTTACATCTGACAAAATGTCCGCATGTAGATGGATAGTATCCAGGCTATATGCTATTCAGAACTTTTGCCTCTTAGTGTGTTCTTAAGGAGGGGCCTGTGTGAGTGGGTGGAGTGAGGTCTTCCTCTGGGGGCGTTGATTGAGGTCTGACCGGGCAGCGAGAAGATCATTCTCCTCAAGTAGCTCAAGGCAATTTAAAGCTGCGATCTCGCACATTCACTCAAAGGCGATGAACTGTGGTAAAGATAGGAGGATAAGAACTCCACTTCTCTCCTTAGGTGAGACTCAATCTCCCACTCATCTCACTCTGCCTCTGCAGTGCCTCTTATAACTTTCTCCCAGTCCGGGAAGTGAGCCGTCACTCAGGGAGAGATATGGTGAGAGAGCAGAGACCTGACAGCCTCGTCCAGCAACATCTGAATTCATGCCCAAAGCCCTGTCCACCAGAGAGAGCGAAAGAGAGAGAGAGAGAGAGAGAGAGAGAGAGAGAGAGAGAGAGAGAGAGAGAGAGAGAGAGAGAGAGAATGTGGAGGGGAACAAAGAGAGACACACTGCACTCAATCCGCTCCGCACATCCACCCTCACATCATCTCACCCCCCACTCCCTCATGTCCCTTCCCAAATCTCCTCTCACTCTCCCTGATTCCTCTCACCCCCACCACTCCCCCCCACCAGCCAGACACACAGTGTAACATGATTCAACAGCCACACCATCATTACCCAGGATGCCTTGTAGCCCACACTGCTCATTGGTCAAACCACTCAAATTAGGAAAAAAAGACAAACTATATGAAAACAAACACAGAAAAGACACAGTAGCAAGACACATGACATGACCAGGAAAAACAGAGACAGCTTTGTGTTCAGTGGAACAACATTGTATACCAGCTCAGAGACCTTACCCCGTTGAGGCCATAGAGGCTCAATACTATGCAACAGACCGACCAACCGCCCAGGAGCGGAGCGCGTCAGAGCCAAAGCAACTGAACCTGGTTGGGGCTGACTGTCATGTACCCAAGGTAACGTCATGTCCAAACTGCACATCCCACAGTTTTCTGGGGGCGGGGCCAAGCCGCGGGAGCAGGGGAGCCTCTCTACAGTGTAGGCCAGCGCGGTCGTCACAGAGACGCCATGCAGACAGGCACAGTGTGCTCCTCTGTTTGTCTCGTCCCCCAAAACCCTTCTGCCCTACAGCCACATCTTCTCAACTACAGGACTTAACACCGTTACATTGACAGGTATATAAGACCTACTCTACAGCATACTTTACTACACTCAGATACCCTGACCTACCCTTGACACACTTATGAAAACATTCCAGCAAGCTCTAAGATACCCTAGAATATCCATTACACATTTAACATGGCCCATACAGAAGCTAACATTTCTCAAGCCATGATGCATCTTTAACCTGTGCAATATGTAGAATTGCCTAACACAAATACAGAGGCCAAAAACCTACCCAAATGGGTATCTTCATTATACACACCTGCACAAGGTGGATAAGAGTCCCAAGAGTTCTAACCGTTAGATTTTGTCAATTTCAATGTGTTTATTTTCTTAAAACTTAGACTCTTACCAATCACAGTATTCAAATCTACAATTATTATACCTGCAAAAGAATCACTCAATCAACTTCATTTAAAATAGTATTAAGGCTTGCATGCCAATTCATTGCATGCAACCAGCCATCAACAATGGCCAGTAAAAAAAAAAAAAACGGAAAATTGTTCTCCAAAAGATTCATATCCGGGCAGAACTTTGCCTAGGTAAGTCAGTCTTCTCCATGTTCCATTCCATGGTCCAAATCAGATGCAGGGCAGACACAGGCTGTTTTAACCATGCTGCAGACCTTACTGTCATCATCGCTAACTTAACTAACGCTGCTTTCAAATATGTTGCATTGCTCAGGGAATGAAAAAAATAATGTATTAGAAAATGCAACATATCTCGTCTTGGCATGCAGTCCCAGTCGATATGACAAGTCTGAATGAAATCATTCCATTTCATTTCATGTGATGCCCTAATGCAGTTCCTTTAGTTTTGTTTTGCTTTTCTCAATCTAAAGACGCAAACACTAGTTGAGAAGATATGGCATCGGTTTGGCAGAAGGAAACAAAACCAGACTGAGGCAGGCTAAGAGACAGCACACTGTTTTAGCTCTCATTCTCATTCTCTCTGCACCTAGCTCTTTACCTTCTGACACATGGGGGACAGCACTTACCTGTTCTGGAACCTGTGGGGAAGGGAGGGAGGCAGGTGGGGTGGGGTTGGGGACAGAGGAGGGGTACAGTAGATGGGAGATAGGAGAGGGGGGGAAAACGCCTGGCTCTCCTATCCTATCAATCAATCAATCAATCACGCTCATCATCCAGGATCTCAAGATCCACACTGTGGACGGACAGACGCAACCAAATCAGTCAGTCAGTCCGCTTCCAGCTACATGCACAGAGGCCCCCATGCATGGTTGTGGGCCAGGTTATGAGCAAGTTTGTACCCCCAGCAAAAGAGTGGGACGTGTGCTAAAGAGGGGCAGGCAGAGGCGTCTACCTTGCTGCATGAGAGCTCCAACTCCGAACCAGAAACTATTTAGCAGGGTGAAATTGTTTTCCACTACATCCGAGTCGGGGTTGCAGGGGTGGGGATTATACCACTCGTAGGGACTAAACCTGTGGCAATCGACAGAGAACACACACATACACACGTTTATTTCACTTGTGTTCAGCACTAATAGAACAGACAGACAGTGTTGCAGACCAGTACTGGCTTGGCTTGGCCTACCTGGAGAGATAGGGAAGAGGAACAAAGGTTAGTCAGTTATTGATCACAACAACAATATGTGATACTTTGGCATCTTGATATTGGGAACATATACCCCATATACTGCCCGACAAGGTAACGCTAGAAATTGTCATTGTACGCTAATGTATTTTAGTTGTTGTTAGGACAATTAATCAATTAGAGTGTAACATGTCGGTTAAAACGAACAAAACATCCCAAACAACAATATGACGTACACCATCCCTTTACATGTCACTCAGGTCTGCATTTGTTATTATCTCTTCTAGATGACAGATGAAGTATTTAAACAACCCTTCTCACCACTTGTCAGTCCAAAACACACTGCTCATGTTGACATGCTCATATCAAAGGCAATTTACTCCATCATTTAATCGATGGGATCTGAAAAGAACTTAAATGTCACTTGAGAAAAGCACTAATAATCCTTCTAATCTACAGATGGCATTAAAATTCAACAGATCAAACAGTTAATTCCCATCATGCCTGCCTGCCTGTGCTGTGCTGTGCGGTACTCACTCCCACTCACTCCGCTCTGCTCCAGCTTCAGCTCAGCTCACTCCTCAAGCAAAGAGATTTCCCATTTATTCACGTTAAATAAAAGTGACATTACATTAGTAAAGGTTGATTGGGCTACAATTAAGCATCCTGACCCAATTTGGTTTGTGCTGTAGTTGTGGAATCATAGGAGCAATATCTTTTTTTCCCCCCTGGTTGGAGTATATGACTAATCAAATTGAATAGACGATGGATGTAATCTGTGGACTTGACTCACTAGAAGCTATTAAATTCCAAAAGTCCACAATAATATCCAATGAAAAAAAATCAGATTTTCCATAGAAAGAATTAAACAGTAGACAATCCAGCATGGTTACTTGTCAGCTTAGTATCATTTTCTGGGGTCTTGGTGGCTTAGATATATCAAATCTAATCTAATCTAATTTTATTTTATTTACCACATGCGCCGAATACAACAGGTGTAGACCTTACAGTGAAATGCTTACTTACAAGCCCTTAACCAACAATGCAGTTTTAAGAAAATAAAAAAAGCAAATAATTACAGAGCAGCAGTAAAATAAAATAACAGTAGGGAGGCTATATACAGGGGGTACCGGTACAGAGTCAATGTGCGGGGGCACCGGTTAGTCTACGGTCACCGGTTAGTCTATATAGCTATATATTGGTGACAGCATTAAGACATATTACAGTATGGATAATATGACAGCATCAGAACATGCACCTTGTCATTGAATAATGGGCTTGGCCATTATAATGTGGTTAGTGCACGCTCCCTTTCCACCATGTCACACTCAAGGTGGTATTCTAGTCTAGCTCCAAGACCTCTGAATGTCCTTTAGATCACACCATTCCTTGTTTTAACACAATCCTTGGCCCTAAATCAATCTGTCTACTCAATTTGCCCCAGCTTTGCTTGCTTGTCAATTTGCAATGCCAAATTGAGTTCATGTGAACTGTGACCTTGGCAAGATGTATGTGACTAGTGACTGGTACCCCTGGCTGGACCCCCTTAGTGGAGATCTCTCTGAGCAAAGCCAATTACCACAAGCCAGGAACACGAATGGGCCAGCTTGTCATCCTACATCCGTAGATGGCCTGAGCATACTAGGAAAGGGTGGGGTAAGAGGCGGGGAGTTACCTTACCGCGGTGGGAATACTAAACAATCCCGTCGCCGTACGAGGAGAACCACTAGCAGCAGCTTAACCTGCCTTTGAAGGTAGCGCTGCCCGGCCACTCCGCCGGCCCCATCCCGTTCAGTTAGCTGTCAGTTTGATCCAATTACACCGCCCTTACGTTATCTCAGGTCATCAGAGCCGCAGAGGGAGAGACTTTGAGTAAGGTCACCACTGAGCGGATAGAGAGAGAGAGAGAGAGAGAGAGAGAGAGAGAGAGAGAGAGAGAGAGAGAGAGAGAGAGAGAGAGAGAGAGAGAGAAAGATAACCACAGACAGGCAGGCAGGCAGGCAAGAAGGGAACTCAGCAGCGGAGAAGAAACAATGTCTTTTATCTTTTTATAGGGTCATCCTGCTGAAAACTCAACAGATGATACGCCTGATAACACCAATGTCAGGGGAGATGAATCAACACAGAGAGAGCACTACAATGGGGCTGTTGCTGGTCTCTTCTATTCTAAATGGCTGTGGAAAAGACATGGCTATATATCTCTATAGGCTTCCTATGAACCTTCCAAGCAATCAACAGCGTTAGAATGAGGCTGTTGCCGTATAATATTCTATATGGCTTGAAAAAATACATTTATATATGTCTCTCTATACACAAACCTTGCAACCAATCAGAAAAGCTCAATCAAATGCTGTTGTTTGCTTCTATTTCCAGGATGATCAAAAATCTATATCTGTAGTGTTGCAGTGAGAGGCATGGGGTTATAGAGAGCACACTGAGAGTCTCATTCTACTAATGGAGGAGAAATGCAGAAGAGTTTAATAGAAATTCCATTACATTCGGTCCCTCTCTACAAATGTAGAACAAGGGGTGGGAAATCTGCCTGTTATATGAGCATGTTGTAACATGTTGCAGTTAATGAAGCAGACGGTGTTAGACTGTGTATTGAACATATGATGTACTATGTTTCACAGTAACACAAATGAAGGAGAGACTGTGTAATATTGAGGCAGTCTTCTATCCACCAGTCATGTGACAACAACATGTAACAATAGTAGGAGACTACATAATTAAACGATTGGCCGACAGAAAGAGAGAATCCTGCATAAATGTTTTGATAAATTGTTGACGATAAGAGAGCCCGTTCGCTCCTCTCCAAGTTTTATCTTTTTAAATTTCATTTGATAAGGAAGAGGCAGGAAATTTGATTCCCCCAAACTGTAACAAGGTGATAATGCACAGAGATGGTGTGAAGGTGGTGGGATGTACAATAGAGACTGTTTCAGCTGTTTCATTGAATCACCTACATAACAAAGGAAGAAGGAGCAGTGTAAGAAATATATTAGAGGAAAACAACAACTACAACAACAACAACACCTACCACAACAACAACAACAACAACTGCTGATATTGAGGAGGATAACTTATTAAATCATGTAATCTTGTGGTTTTCCCACTGTATCCTGACAGTGTTTCTAAATATGGCATGTAGATCAGTTTGGGGAGCCTAAACCAGACCTTATAATGTCACCTATACGGCATTCACACACACACACACACACACACACACACACACACACACACACACACACACACACACACACACACACACACACACACACACGCACACACACACACACACACCCATGCATACAGTAGCATAAACCCCCTCACACATACAGAACACACACAAGCGTACATAGATAAAATGTGTACACACACATAAATATGTACAGTTAGCTTAGTTACCTTTCCAGAGAACGACTGAGGCTTGTGCCACTACACTGTACTGTATATATGCATGCTACTGATGCCCTACCATGCCTAGTGTCTGAAGGGGGGCAACAAACAGAGTGAAAGGGATATTTTAACACTTACCCAACAACACTTACTTACTGTGATCATTTAAAAAAGATAGGTGCATATTCTGAACCAACTTAGATGACAGTTGCAGCGTTTTATTCTCTTGTGTGATCATATCGCCAGTAACATTGGAAAACACACGTGCATTAACTGTAAAACTATTGGGTGTACAACTCAAAGGAGTTACGCTCCCCCAAAAGTTTTAGAGTTAACATGAACTTTTCTGTCTCTTCTTCTCCACCGTGCCTCAAACGTTGGCCATAGTCAGATGAGAGCCACCAGATCAAGGGGAGTGATACAAGACCATGGTACATGCCTACGGAACAGCAAGAGGAACTACCCCTCCCTATTTTCAGGCTCTGCTCAAACACTACACCCCAACCTGAGTACTCCGTTTTGCCACCTCTGGTGTCTTGGCCGTCCCACCCCTGCAGGAGGGCAGCTCTCGCTCAGCCCAGTCCAAGCTCTTCTCTGTCCTGGCACCCTAATGGTGGAACCAGCTTCCCCCTGAAGCTAGGACAGCAGAGTCCCTGCCCATCTACCGAAAACATCTGGAACCCTACCTCTTCAAAGAGTATCTTAAATACCCCCCCCCCCCCCCCCCCATACTTACTATGACTGTGATATGTAGTTGTCCCACCTAGCTATCTTAAGATGAATACACTAACTGTAAGCCGCTCTGGATAAGAGTGTCTGCTAAATGACTAAAATGTAAATGTAAAAATGTCAAACTCTGCCCTACTTTCCCATGTCTGAGAACTAAGCCTGAACAAAAAAAACAAAAGATACACAACTACTACCCACATAAAAACGTATTTTGCTTAGCATTAGACCATCTACAATGCCATTGCTCTTATTTCAATCATAATATCCAGCCTTTAAGGTCAAGATGAAAAATATAAGAATGCTTGAACTGAAACGTACTACTATTGGTAAAAATTCATCCTAACCAATATGGTATCCATCAATATAAAATGTCAACACAAAACAGTTTATCACAGGTAAAAGCTAAATTACATTTAAATCTTCTACACTACATCATGATTGAATATTTCAATAAAATGTTAGCGTTCTCTGTAAACGTTATGCTAAAGTTCCTACAGGACTGGCCCTATCCTCCACCAGTGGACCAGTGGCTGAGACTGAAATGGCACCCTATTCCCTATATAGTGCACTTCTTTTGAACAAAGCCCCATGGGCCCAGATCAACATTAGTGCATTATATAGGAAATAGGGTGCTATTTTGGACAAAACCAGTTATTAGGGATCAGATCAACCCAATGTATGCGCAGGGTCAGATGCTGATAACTAGCCGATCAACTAATCCTGATGAGTTTGACAACACACACACCATCTTACCTCAAGTTCTAACACACACCATCTTACCTCAAGTTCTAACACACACCAGTTTAGCTCAAGTTGTAACACACACCATCTTACCTCAAGTTCTAACACACACCAGTTTACCTCAAGTTCTAACACACACCATCTTACCTCAAGTTCTAACACACACCAGTTTACCTCAAGTTCTAACACACACCAGTTTACCTCAAGTTCTAACACACACTATCTACCTCAAGTTCTAACACACATCAGTTTACCTCAAGTTCTAACACACACCATCTTACCTCAAGTTCTAACACACACCATCTTACCTCAAGTTCTAACAGACACCATCTAACCTCAAGTTCTAACACACACCATCTTACCTCAAGTTCTAACACACACCAGTTACCAGTTTAGCACACCAGTTACTCAAGTTCTAACACACACCAGTTTACCTCAAGTTCTAACACACACTATCTACCTCAAGTTCTAACACACACCATCTTACCTCAAGTTCTAACACACAGCATCTTACCTCAAGTTCTAACACACACCAGCTTACCTTGCGTCCTGACAACAAACATAAAAGCCTCACTCTTCATACCCTCTCTTCGCTTCTACAATAATCCTACAAAAACCCAGACAATCTATACTGTACAAACAAGTGATCAACCTTACAAGTGATCAAGCTTTTTTAATTGTCAGCCACATCTGTCGTTTTTTTCTATACATAACTAATATGTTCTTACTGTGCTTATATTATTCCTATGTAGATTCTATGACCCGGTATGTTTGAGGCAAGGTGAAGAAAAAAACAGAAAAGAAAAGACAGTAGTGACTTTGAGACACTGGAGACTACAGCGAAAAGGAGGCAGCAGCCGTTCACACCGAGGAGCACACACATACATACACACATACCGCACACACGCAGTCCTGAAACGGCTGGTTTAACGTCTCTGCTCCTAAGGTTTGTGTTTGTGTGCATTATCTCCTGAGCAGCAGATCGTTGTGGCAGACCAGGGAACAGCAGTGATGTGTGGAGACACAGCGACAACCCAGGAATCACTTAACAGCAGCTGCCTGCCTGCATCTCTAGAGCGGCCTGCTGATAGGGAGCACTCTGCCCTTCCTCCATTATACTGGGAGAGAAGGCTGAAAGGGAACCATAGGGAACTGTCTTTGTGTGCTGGAAAATCTACTTTCCTCAGATATATAGACTTTTATCCATGTACCTTTTTCTTCAAAGTTGGTTGCATTATTAAAAGTTTGAGTGAATGTGTTTCTGAGTTTTTCAGTATGGGGCTGCCTATAAAGTCTGTGTCATCTGAGTGAGTAGGAGACAATACACTAACAGATATAGTCTACTTAGTGTCAAGATCGTAACATAATCACAGAGAGATTATCCTGTTAGTCAGATGGGGTGAGGTTAATTAATTAAGACGTTAGCATATAATAGTGTGTGAATTAATTAGCTGTGATCATTGGAACTGACATGTTACCTGGCTATGACAAACAGCACACAACTGACACCCAAGTAAGCCAGCAGAATATACATCCAGATATCGGGTGAGAGGGGGTTAAGGAAGGAGAAGACCCCAGGGTTGGTTCCGTTGGGTTTGCGGTAGAGGATACTTATCCCCAGCGTCATGAAGGGCTTGGAGAAGTCGATGACCTTCTCCCTCACATAGGTGATGGCCAGGGGAGCCACTGCCAGATCAGCTTTCTGTCAACAGACAACATAAAAGGGAAGAGGGATAGGCTGTAAATCAGGGGCGCAGGAAGCGTTTAGAGCCAATCAAATTAAGAAAACAGGGCCTTTACACATCACAGAGTCTGTCCCACGGCACTTAGGAGGATATTTAGAGCCCTTCTAGCTCTTGCTCTCTCTCTTTCTCTCTCTCTCTCTCTTTCTATCTCTCTCTCTCTCTCTCTCTCTCTCTCTCTCTCTCTCTCTCTCTCTCTCTCTCTCTCTCTCTCTCTCTCTCTCTCTCGTTCCTACACACACTCCCTCGCTGCCACACACACACACGCACACACACTCTCTCCCTCAACCCCCCCCCCCCCCCCTTTTATATCCTCTTTCTATCCCCCTTCTCCTTTCCTTGTCCGACATTGAACCTAAACCAATTTTTTTTTAAACTCTATGGTCCTATCGACCACAGCCACTGGGGCAGAGGAGTTTCAGGGTGGAGGAGGGAGGGCGTGAGTGATGGAAGAAATTGTGCCCAGAAAACAAGATAACGTTGAACCATCGTCATTCTCATAAGAACACAGAAATCTACATCTTATATTGTGTCTCTGATCTGAGAGGATCATATTTAGATGTTATTTCAAAATAACCCTATTTCTTCACAACCCTGAATCAGGAGTTCTACTTTTTGATCTACAAGCTTTCCACAGTCTCATCACTCATATTCCATCCGTAAGTATCCCTCCGCCATGGCTCAGAGTGGGAGTCATTCTTCATGTTAATACAGTATGTTGACCTTGACCTTTCAATCGAGTCACATTCGAAACGTCCCAACCAATCCGGTCTCTCTATGTGGGGTTAAACCTCTGTGTGGTTGATAAATCTGTGGCTTCATTGTGACACAGGTACATGCTAAACACTCACAGCAAGGTCAGCAACATAATTTCTCAAGTAAATATCCTGTTCGTCGCCATGAAGGTTGTCATACATCAATCTAGATTGAATGAGGTGGTTTGGTCCCAGGAACTATAATGTATGAAGAACTATTTCTGATATTAAACAGGACATCATCTGTAGTCATACGAGGTAGGCTGCCTTTATTTGTTCCATGTAATTTAAGGCCAAGTGACATGACCTGATCCTATTTAGATCATTTAATCTAGCTCATGAACAGGTCCTATTTCAACTGAATGTATCCAGGTGCATCTACAGTACTCTAGTTATATGTCTCTAAGCATTAGTCAGAGAGCACAAGTGATTTCTTTCAACTCCATTTGACTGGATATGTTCAGCTTCTTCAGCTCAATTCGCCATGTCCTGGTTAGTTAGTATAGACTCCTGTGAAGGGTTGTCCAGGCCAATTACTGTAGAGTCTGTCTGTCCACCACAGATCCTGCTTGCCTACAGTATACAGTTGAAGTCGGAAGTTTACATACACCTTAGCCAAACACATTTAAACTCAGTTTTCACAATTCCTAACATTTAATCCTAGTAAATATTCCCTGTTTTAGGTCAGTTAGGATCATCACTTTATTTTAAGAATATGAAATGTCAAAATAATAGTAGAGAGAATGATTTATTTCAGCTTTTATTTATTTGATCACAGTCCCAGTGGGTCAGAAGTTTACATACACTCAATTAGTATTTGGTACCATTGCCTTTAAATTGTTTAACTTGAGTCAAACATTTCAGGTAGCATTCCACAAGCTTCCCACAATAAGTTGGGTGAATTTTGGCCCATTCCTCCTGACAGAGCTGGTGTAACTGAGTCAGGTATGTAGTCCTCCTTGCTCGCACATGCTTTTTTAGTTCTGCCCACACATTTTCTATAGATTGAGGTCGGGGCTTTGTGATGGCCACTCCAATACCTTGACTTTGTTATCCTTAAGCCAATTTGCCACAACTTTGAAAGTATGCTTGGGGTCATTAACCATTTGGAAGACCCATTTGCGACCAAGCTTTAACTTCCTGACTGATGTCTTGAGATGTTGCATCAATATATCCACATAATTTTCCTTCCTCATGATGCCATCTATTTTGTGAAGTGCACCAGTCCCTCCTGCAGCAAAGCACCCCCACAGCATGATGCTGCCACACCCTTGCTTCACGGTTGGGATGGTGTTCTTCGGCTTGCAAGTAACCCCCTTTTTCCTCCAAACACAACAATGGTCATTATGGCCAATCAGCTATTTTTGTTTCATCAGACCAGAGGACATTTCTCCAAAAAGTAAGATCTTTGTCCCCATGTGCAGTTGCAAACCACAGTCTGGCTTTTTTTATGGCGGTTTTGGAGCAGTGGCTTCTTCCTTGCTGAGTGGCCTTTCAGGTTATGTTGATATATGACTCATTTTACTGTGGATATAGATACTTTTGTACCTGTTTCCTCCAGCATCTTCACAAGGTCCATTGCTGTTGTTCTGGGATTTATTTGCACTTTTCGCACCAAAGTACATTAATCTCTAGGAGACATAACGCATCTCCTTCCTGAGCGGTATGATGGCTGTGTGGTCCCATGGTGTTTATACTTGCATACTATTGTTTGTACAGATGAACGTGGCACCTTCAGGCGTTTGGAAATTGCTCCCAAGGATGAACCAGACTTGTGGAGGTCTACAATTTTTTTTTTGAGGTCTTGGATGATTTCTTTTGATTTTCCCATGACGTCAAGCAAAGAGGCACTGAGTTTGTAGGTAGGCCTTGAAATACATCCACAGGTACACCTCCAATTGACTCAAATTATGTCAATTAGCCTATCGAAAGCTTCTAAAGCCATGACATCATTTTCTGGAAATGTCCAAGCTGTTTAAAGGCACAATCAACTAAGTGTATGTAAACTTCCGACTTCAACTGTATATGCATCCCAAATGGCACCCTATTCCCTATATAGTGCACTACTTTAGGGCCCTGGTCAAAAGTAGTGCACTACAGCATGTAGGAAATAGGGTGCCATTTGGGATGCTGTCTAGAGATAGGTGGTTCTATATCTACTAGGGGTGTAACGATCCATCTACTACATCGATGTATCGATTTATATTCATATGATCCAACTACATCGATCTGTGCTCGGCGAGTTGGCCTTTTGGACAACATATATCGATCTAACATCGTTTTAAAATGTAATAAATCGATTGTATCGATACTAGGAAATAACCCATTGGATTTAAGCACGTCAGACTTTATATGCAGGGGTGCACATAACTGGTACGCAGATACGCAAGCGCGACAAAAATCAGGAATGCGTAATGCCACCTGTGTTACTACGCGCCTTTGCGTACTTGACCGATCTTCTCATCTAACCTTACACATGACATGTTGCTTGTCAACTACTGTCAGGGATGTCCAAAAAGCAACAGACATTAAGCAGCTTCTTTGGCGTTTCGCCACCTACAAAGAAACGCCAACTGGAGCCAGAGCCCGAAGAAAATACTTTTTTCGGAAAAGTGGCTCCAAGATGTGCAGTGGCTTGAAGCTAACGATGAGCGCACTGAAATGTGGTGCAAGATTTGCCGCTCAAATCCACATCTAGCAGACAAAACAGGTGCATTTTATAAAGGCTCAAAGAATTTCAACCATCCTTTATTTGACAAACATGAAAAGAGCAAGGAGCACACGAATGTGGCGCAAGCCATTGCTAAAAGCTAGCCGAGAATAAATGTCCAGTCGCCCACTTGCCAGATGGCGAGACAAGCTGAATGAAGAACAACGGCAAGCTCTGTTTAATATTTTTCTCTTTCCATAAAGCTAAACATCAGATCCATCAAAAAGCAGCCCCCAAAATTCAGCAGACTGCAACTTGGCTCGTAACTCCCCGCTGATGGTGTGAGCGATGCTAGAGCAAAAAAAACTGCTGCACTGAATAAAGCTATGTGAAGAAAATGGGATCTCCTTTGTGGAACTGGGTAAGTTTCATAATACCAGATTGTCTGCATGGAGGCATGAAACACTGTTCAAAATATAAAGACTATTGCCAGCCATTAAAATGCAACTGGTTACCAGGTATTTATTTCAGTCACACTGGTTGAATTTTTGGCTAAAAGGTTACTGAATCGATTTCAAGTCACTGAATCGTTTCGGATCGTATCGTTCTAAATGAACCAATATCGTCCTTGAATCGTATCGACAACCACGAATCGTGATACAAATTGAATCGTTGTTAAAACGAATCGTTACACCCCTAATATCTACATAACGGCCAACGCTCCAATCACCTTGCAGGAATTGGGCCATTTGTGTGTCAAATCCCTGGGATCCCTCTCCCTCCAGCCTCTGCATGATCAAAACAAACATGGTCGTCGGACCAGTGTACCACAGTTGAGGGAGATGCAGTGTTATTTAATGGGGTCAGATATTGAGTATTGGATGTGGTGAGCCTGTTATTTTTCTGCCTGCCTGCGCAGAGCTTATACTATCTGGGTCTTACGTTGTCAAATTTAATGATCTAGTCCGTGGCACTGTGTGTGTGTGTGTGTGTTTGTGTGTGTGTGTGTGTGTGTCTGTGTGTGTGTGTGTGTGTGTGTGTGTGTGTGTGTGTGTGTGTGTGTGTGTGTGTGTGTGTGTGTGTGTGTGTGTGTGTGTGTGTGTGTGTGTGTGTGTGTGTGTGTGTGTGTGAGTGTGTGTGTGTGTGTGTGTGTGAGTGTTTGTTTTAATAAGCTCTGCAGAGGAAACGAGTCAAACCAGAATCCATGCTGTACACCTGGTCAGGAACGAGTATGGGAGCTGATGGCTCTCTCTCTCCTCTCCTTGTCTCCTCGCTCCTCTCTCACTCTCTCTCTCATCCTCTCTCTCTCTCGTCACTCGCCCCTCTCTCTCCTCCTCTCTCCTCCTCTTCTCTCATTCTCTCTTCTCTCTCTACCTCTCTCTCTCTCTACGCTCTCTCTCTCTACCTCTCTACCTCTCTCACGCTCTCCCTCTACCTCTCTCTCTACCTCTCTACCTCTCTCACGCTCTCTCTTTCACGCTCTCTCTCTCTACCTCTCTCTCGCTACCTCTCTCTCTCTACCGCTCTCTCTACCTCTCTCTCGCTACCTCTTTCTCTCCACCTCTCTCTCTCTACCTCTCTCTCCCTCTCTCTCCCTCTCTCCCTCTCTCTCTAAACCAAAAACATGTTTGTCATACAAAATACACCTATACAAACCCTTGTCATACACACTTCAGACAAAATACATCCCCACTCCCCACGCCCTCTAGCTGTTTACCACCTCATAAATTAATCATCAATAATTTACATAGATCATTTCTGAGTAGTGAGGTAGGCCCAGACTCACGTGGTCGATCAGCTCCTTGACCATGCCGTTCCACTGGCCCGTGGTCTCGTCCTGGGCCCCGTAGCGGCCATCCTCCACCAGACGTAATTCGTAGGTGAACCCCAGGATGCTAGCCAGCTCCCTCAGCAGGTCGATGCAGTAGCCCTCAAAGCGGTCATTACCGTAAAGGGGCTTGTCCGACTTCTTGAACATCACATAGGGCTCCACCTGTTAGGTTGGGGAGAGGAGAGGGGTGGAGCAACGCTGGATCAGTCTCTGGAGGTAAGGATTGGTATCTTTTCCACTCTGATAAGGCCTTTCTGTGAGTGTGCATGATGTGTGAGATAGGCTTTGAGCCTGATGTGCCTGGACACACACTGGCTACAGTATAATAATATATAATATGCCATTTAGCAGACGCTTTTATCCAAAGCGACTTACAGTCATGCGTGCATACATTTTTGTGTATGGGTGGTCCCGGGGATCGAACCCACTACCTTGGCGTTACAAGCGCCGTGCTCTACCAGCTGAGCTACAGAGGACCACAACAGGAGAGAGGGAGAGGAACAGAGGAGGAAGGACCACTGCTGCTAAAACCAGGAGGGTGTGTGTGTGGTTGTGTGAGGTTGTGTGTGTGGTTGTGTGTGTGGTTGTGTGTGTGTGTGTGTGTGTGTGTGTGTGTGTGTGTGTGTGTGTGTGTGTGTGTGTGTGTGTGTGTGTGTGTGTGTGTGTGTGTGTGTGTGTGTGTGTGTGTGTGTGTGTGTGTGTGTGTGTGTGTGTGCACGCGTGTGTGTCTGTGGAATATTGGCATGCAGTCTCAGAAATGCAGTACAAGGTTAATGGAGTGATGGAAGCATGACCATAATAAGAGATAATCCTCCATATCTCTGACTCGGTGCTCCCCTCCTTTCCTCTCAGGCTGAACGTACTGGCTGGGGGCCTGCACCGTCCCCGTCCCCGTCCCTGGCTCTCAGGCCACCAGAAGCTTTGTAAATAAGATCAGAGATGCTGATAAACTGACACAAAAGAACAGGAGCCAGCACATCCTCTTTGTTAGGACTAACAGCTGGGGAGATTACTAATGTCCTCTTTCACTCTCTGGATCCTCTCTTCCTCTTCCCTCTCTCCCCCTCCCTTTCTCGTTCGCTGCCTCTCTTTCTCTCTCTCTCTCTCGCGCTCTCTCTCTCTCTCCTCTTTCTCGCTCTCTCTCTCTCTCGTTTCTCTCTCTCTCGTTCTCTCTCTCTCTTTTTCTCTCCCCCACTCACCCTCTCACTTGCTTTCTCCACTATCTCTCTCTCTCTCTCTTTCTCTCATCTCTCTCTCTTTCCATCCCTCTCTCCCTTCTACCCCTGTCTCTCGCAGTAAAATCAGGCAAATAACATATTATCAAACAGGTGTTGATTACCATATAATTGTGGCATGCCACAGTACAAACAAAATCATGTCTGATCTCAACCAGCTTTCACACATTTTACTGGCTCAGAGATTTTATGAGAACAAGGAGATGCTAACACATGTAATAGCATCTATTGGTAAAGATACTGTAAAACAAGGTTATATCGCTCTTCACCCCCAAACACTTCTCAGTCTATAACAGCCTCTCTACATATTCATAATTCATATCAGCCGCTGCCATTGATTGACAATCTTGTGGTTTTAGACAGTCACAGACAATCTAGCTGTTATCTGACAGTGCCTGAGCACACCTAGGGTGCTATAAAATGCTCAGTTTAATGATGAAATCTTCATGACAGAATGGAAACAAAAAAAGTACTGTCCACATTATGGCTCAATCCGAGAGTGACGATGAGAATACACAAACACAAGCACGTGCACACACACACACACACACACACACACACACACACACACACACACAAGCTGAGGGAGCTGTCTTGTTTTCCACAAGCTCTCCGTCAAATAACCCACCAAGCTGTGAGTTTCTGGAAGCCCTGTTTGCGTATGTGTGTATCACCATGGAAACGGAGCCATGGTATTCTACAGACCGAGAGTGAATGATTGTGCATGGCGGTCTGTTTTTCAAACCCACACAGACGCTTTCCTTTCACACTGACTCATCTAAACACAAAGCGAGATAGACCGACTTTAGTACCAATGAATTGCTGACCTTGCATTGAGATATCCTCCAATATTGGATTCTTAGTGGGTCAAGCAGCATGTTTATTGTCTTTCTCCCTATAAGGAATTTGACATTCAAGTTTCCATTCCTGAAGGGTGTCTGAGAGTAATACTTGAATGTCTTAGACCTTGAACATCTCTTCAGTCTGAGGCTGTGCTGTGGAAAGGCTTTGTGACACATTGGGGCTATCTAATATACGATAGTAGCAAAACATCATATACTGTATATACAGAGTGATAAAATCAAAGAGATGTCTCTATCTCTTTCTCCCCCTCTTTCTCTGTCTTGTTTTCTCTCTGTCTTTCTCTCCCTCCATCTCTTTCTGTCTTTCTCAATAGCTCTCTCTTTCTATCCTGTCGCCTGAATTGGTCCTTTTAAACATTCCCACCCTCTCTATCTATAGACCTTATCAGCAGCTCTCCTCTCTCTGTTTGTAACCTAGTCAGAGGAGTGGTGAGGAGCCAGGTAAAAAGAGGAGGGCATTCAAGGGCATAAAGGTGCGATGCATGATGGGTAGTCTGGCAAAGCCACCTGAAGTTTAACTTTGAAGTGGACACAGCCTCTGTACAGTGCACTCAGAAAGTGTTTGATGTATAGTATTTGAAAGGGGGGAACCAATTAAGAATATCTAGACATCAGAGCAGGTGGAGAGAGAGAGAAAGAAAGAGAAAGAGAGCGAGAGAGAGAGAGAGACAGAGAGAAAGAGAGAGAGAGAGAGAGAGAGGAGAGAGAGAGAGAGAGAGAGAGAGAGAGAGAAGGAATCGAAAGAGAGGGCGAAAGAGAGAGCTAAAGAGAAGAGAGAAGAGAGACGGGAGATAGAGATAGAGAGACCAACAGAGATAGAGCGAGAGAGAGAGATGAGAGTGACGAAGAGAGAGAGATAGAAAAGAGAGAGCGAAGAAGAGCGAAGAGAGAGAAGAGACGATACAGAGAGAGACGCAATATAGAGCAAGATAGAAGAGAGAAGAGAAGAAGAGTATAGATGAGAATATATATAGAGATAGTCGAGAGGATATAATATATATAGATAAAGACTCACTGACAAAGGGACAGGAAAAGCTTTCTACTGTATAAAGCTACTATAAACCTAACAGAGAATTGAACATTTTAAATGTAAATTAAATACCCTGCTGTAGCCCTTTCCTGCAGTCAAATGACTAGTGACCTCATGGGTGGAATGTTATTCATATATATTTATCCTAATTTCATAACTAATAAACTTGTTTTATTTTTTATTAAAAGACAGAAATCTGGTGTTTCTACAGTACCAGTCAAAAGTTTGTACACACCTACTCATTCAAGGGTTTTTCTTTATTTTTACTATTTTCTACGTTGTATAATAATAGGGAAGACATCAAAACTATGAAATAACACATAAAATAACAATCAAATATATATTTTATATTTGAGATTCTTCAAAAAGCCACCCTTTGCCTTGATGACAGCTTTTCACACTCGTGACATTCTCTCAACCAGCTTCACCTGGAATACTTTTCCAACAGTCTTGAAGGAGTTCCCACATATACTGAGCACCTGTTGGCTGCTTTTCCTTCACTCTGCCGTCCGACTCATCCCAAAACATCTCAATTGGGTTGAGGTCGGGGGATTGTGGAGGCCAGGTCATCTGATGCAGCACTCCATGGCCAGGTCATCTGATGCAGCGCTCCATCACTCTCCGTCTTGGTTAAATAGCCCTTACACAGCCTGGAGGTGTGTTGGGTCATTGTCCTGTTAAAAAACAAATGATAGTCCCACTAAGCCCAAACCAGATGGGATGGCGTATCGCTGCAGAATGCTGTGGTAGCCATGCTGGTTAAGTGTGCCTTGAATTCTAAATAAATCACAGACAGTGTCACCAGCAAAGAACCCCCACACCATAACACATCCTCCTCCGTACTTTACGGTGGGAACTACACATGCGGAGATCATCCGTTCACCAACACCGCGTCTCACAAAGACACAGTGGTTGGAACCAAAAATCTCCAATTTGGACTCCAGACCAAAGGACACATTTCCACCGGTCAATTGTCCATTGCTCGTGTTTCTTGGCCCAAGCAGGTATTTTCTTCTTATTGGTGTCCTTTAGTAGTGGTATCTTTGCAGCAATTCGACCATGAAGGCCTGATTCACACAGTCCCCTCTGAACAGTTGATGTTGAGATGTGTCTGTGACTTCAACTCTGTGAAGAATTTATTTGGGCTGCATTTTCTGAGGCTTGTAACTCTAATGAACATCCTCTGCAGCAGAGGTAACTCTGGGTCTTCCATTCCTGTGGTGGTCCTCATGAGAGCCAGTTTCATCATAGCGCTTGATGGTTTTTGCGACTGCACTTGAAGAAACTTTCAAAGTTCTTGAAATGTTCCGTATTGACTGACCTTCATGTCTTACAGTAATGATGGACTGTCGTTTTTCTTTGCTTATTTGAGCTGATCTTGCCATAATATGGACTTGGTCCTTTACCAAATAGGGCCATCTTGTGTATGCCACCCCTACCTTGGCACAAAACAACTCATTGGCTCAAACGCATTAAGAAGGAAATAAATTCCACAAATTAACTTTTAAGAAGGCACACCTGTTAATTGAAATGCATTCCAGGTGACTACCTCATGAAGCTGGTTGAGAGAATGCCAAGAGTGTCAAAAGCTGTCATCAAGGCAATGTGTTGCTACTATGAAGAATCTCAAATATAAAATATATTTTGATTTGTTTAACAATTGTTTGGTTACTACATGATTCCATATGTGTTATTTCATAGTTTTGATGTCTTCACTATTATTCTACAATGTAAAAAAAATGTAAAAAAATAAAGAAAAACCCTTGAATGAGTAGGTGTGTCCATACTTTTGACTGGTAGTGTATGTCAAACGGTTTTGTTATATCTCATTCTTCTGTTGTGTATATAAAGTGTATGATTGGGATGCAAACTCAAAATGGAATACATTTCAACTCTATATCTGACATGGTACAGGTGTCTTATTTTTTTAAAGCCCATAACCATGTGTGTGAGGTGTACACTTTGGTTTCAAAGTAGGTTTGTTTAAGAATATCAAGAAACACCCTGTGTTACCCTGATTTAGCCCACTGCAGTAAAAGGTCAAGGCAGAATCACAACCTCTCATACAACAAAGATAGGTGCTAACGAGTAGTCCACAATAATGACCAATGTAAAACATTCACCCATGAGGACATCAATTGTAACATACATGAATGCTCCAGTATGCTAATTAGCTCATTTGTAATGGACGTGGACTTTAGCCCCCCTCCCACTGCTGGACATAAACTGTAATATCCTCTCTCTGAATAGGCCTCTTTCTCAGTGCTGCCATGTTTTCCATTGGAATATGTGTTATCTAGCACATTGAGCACAATGTAGCTATTGTCAGCCCGTTAGCAGCGTATAACCTCTCACCTTCTGTCAACTGTGAAAGAGCGTAATTATCATAAACAGGCAGTGGGCCCATTAACACCTAACACTATTTTATTAGTCTGTCTGTCTCTGTCCATGACACATGAAAGTATTATACAACACTTATTTTTCACCATGATTACATTATTTTCAATGTGGTCCTGAATACATTCTGCGGAAATGTTCCTCCCTGGAAATTTAATTATTAGCGGATAACAGCGCTTTAATCCCAATTAATCATATAAACACAGACCCACACACATGCAACCACATAAATAAATAATCGGACATTTGAGCTCTGCACTGAATAAGCTTGTGTTGTTGCTTATGCTGTCTCTCTCTCTCTCTCTCTCTCTCTCTCTCTCTCTCTCTCTCTCTCTCTCTCTCTCTCTCTCTCTCTCTCTCTCTCTCTCTCTCTCTCTCTGTGTGTGTCCGTGTGTGCATGCCTGCGTGCGTATGTGCGCATGTGTTCGTGCAGACGCGCTTTGTGTGTGTGTGTGTGTGTGTGGGGGGGGGGCTGAGTTCAGGGCCACAGGAAGTGTCTGACAACGCTGCACGCTACCTACACGCTAGCCACCTGCTACATGTGGAAGGTCTTACATGCCACCTCCTGACCCTGTCTCGTGTGGTGAAGACCTAGTAGCATCTTTAATTAAAAACAGTGAGGGAGGAAAAAAATAAGGAAAAGGACTAGCTAGCTATCTCTGTATAACAAACCTCATTAAAGTAATTCTGTATTTTATGTTGCTGATCCGGAGATTCACTCACCCTTGAATGCAAAATCATCTTGATTCTTCTACTCGTAAATTTAAAAATCGATTATGTGTCCCAATGAAAATAAATGATACTGGCTCATTTGAACATTTCTTTTAGTTTTATCATTATTGGGCCAGTATGCTACGAGGCTATTGCCTAGAGGAAAGAACAAAGAGAACCCACTCAGGGCTCTCCTCGTGTGATGTGGAGTCATGGAATACTTCCCATAGGCTCACTGCTTAATCAAAGTTGAACTCTTACAATCTGAAATGGTCTAACTAGAAATAATGATGAACAATTGTGAAATACCCAACTAATACCACCAAAATGCTGTTTATGAAATATATTTGAAACAATTCTGATTCAAAAGTCAATTAGTGAAGATAGAGAGTTGCTTGAATGTCTGTACCTTGAAAACAGCAGGAGAAAGACTTGTACTATATCATAGCCATGAAGAGTGTATGAAGAGACAAAGAATAGAAAGTAGATGATAAGCATGAAAGGTTGATTTATCTATTCATTTATTTAGATCCCCTTTACCTGTTACCTTAGTAACAACTCCTTATCCTTGGGGCCTTGATAAGCATTGTGTAAAATCAGATTCCACTGTACGGGGAAAAGGGTTTATAATATAATGCATATAAAGCTGATTCTCTCTCTCTCTCTCTCTCTCTCTCTCTCTCTCTCTCTCTCTCTCTCTCTCTCTCTCTCTCACTCTCGCTCTCTGTCTCCTCGTTTGTGACACCTTTGATCCTCGGGGCGCCCAACTGAGCGTGTGTGGATTTGTACCTTTTAATACATCCCGATCAGCGACGCATAGATCATGCAACAGTAGTAAATAAAAGTCTCATATCAAATTCTGTTTGAATGAATTGTTCCTCATGTCTGGCAGACTAAAAGCCTATTGGCAGAGACGAGCCCCTCCCACAGGGGAAAGGGGGCTATAGGAGGTGGGATCTCTTGGTGAGCACTACTACGATTAGTGTAGCCAATAGGAGGTGGGATCTGTTTGTGTGCACTAATACGATTGGTTCCCGGGTGAGGATGATTCTTTGTGTTGTATGTGTGTATTGTGTCAGAGAAGAATACTTTTTACCTCAGCTGCACCATTTCTAAAGTGAAAAAGAGCATAGTGCAACCTTATCAGTTGCAAAATCTCATGTGGAGTCATGGAACCCATAGGATTACTGTCTAATCAAAGTTGAATTCTGTCACGGATCCTCCCGGTACTGCTGCTCATTCCGTTCACCAGCTCCAGAGGTCTACATCACCGGTCTTCTAGGTGTCACTGAACTAGATCATTACCACCAACCCCGGAATGTCTTGTCTCATTACACACACCTGGTTCCCATTCCCCCTGATTGGTATGTGTATATATGTGTCGATAATTGTCCCATGTCCGTTGGTCTCGTGAGTACCGTGTATTGTGCTCTTGTTGTTTACGGGTCTCGTTCCGTGTATTGTGTAGAGTCGCTCTTTGTTTGGGTTACATCCCTTTGATATGTATATATATATATACATGTTTGTGTTGGGTGGAGTAAATAAAACCCCTAAAACGTATTCCTGCGCCTGTCTTCTAATCATTATACAACATGACAAACTCTTATAGTTAGAAATGGTCAAACTAAAAATTATGTTGAACAACATTAAAATAAATACTACGAAAACCCTATTTATGAAATATGCACTATATAAATAAAAGTATGTGGACACAACTTCAAATGAGTGGATTTGGCTATTTCAGCCACACCTGTTGCTGACAGGTGTATAAAATCGAGCACACAGCCATGCATTCTCCACAGACAAACATTGGCAGTAGAATGGCCTTACTGAAGAGCTCAGTGACTTTCAACGTAGCACCGTCATAGGATGTCACCTTTCCAACAAGTCAGTTCGACAAATTTCTGCCCTGCTAGAGCTGCCACGGTCAACTGTAAGTGCTGTTATTGTGAAGTGGAAACATCTAGGAGCAACAACGGCTCAGCCGCGAAGTGGTAGGCCACACAAGCTCACAGAACAGGACTGCCGAGTGCTGAAGCGCGTAGCGTGTAAAAATCATCTGTCCTCGGTTGCAACACTCTCTACAGAGTACCAAACTGCCTCTGGAAGCAACATCAGCACAAGAACTGTTCGTCGGGAGCTTCATGAAATGGGTTTCCATGGCCGAGCAGCCGCACACAAGCCTAACATCACCATGCGCAATGCCAAGTGTCGGCTGGAGTGGTGTAAAGCTCGCCGCCATTGGACTCTGGAGCAGTGGAAACGCATTCTCTGGAGTGAGGAATCACGCTTCACCATCTGGCAGTCCGACGGACAAATGTGGGTTTGGCGGATGCCAGGAGAACGCTACCTGCCCAAATAAATAGTGTCAACTGTAAAGTTTGATGGAGGAGGAATAATGGTCTGGGGCTGTTTTTCATGGTTCGGGTTAGGCCCCTTAGTTCCAGTGAAGGGAAATCTTAACGCTAAAACATACAATGACATTCTGGACGATTCTGTGCTTCCAACTTTGTGGCAACAGTTTGGGGAAGGCCCTTTCCTGTTTCAGCATGACAATGCCCCCATGCACAAAGTGAGGTCCATACAGAAATGGTTTGTCGAGATCAGTGTGGAAGAACTTGACTGGCCTGCACAGAGCCCTGACCTCATCCCCATCGAACACCTTTGGGATGAATTGGAATGCCGACTGCGGGCTTAATTGCCCAACATCAATGTCCGACCTCACTAATGCTCTTGTGGCTGAATGGAAGCAAGTCATCGCAGCAATGTTCCAACATCTAGTGGAAAACCTTCCCAGAAGAGTGGAGGCTGTTATAGCATATTAATGCCCATGATTTTGGAATGAGATGTTCAACGAGCAGGTGTCCACATACTTTTGGTAATGTAGTGTATATTTGAAACAGGTTTGATTTCAAAGTTGGTTAGTGAAGATAGTCAGTGATTTGAGTGTCTGTGCTTTGACTAAAGAAACCAAAAGAGAAGTGTTTGAAAAGACAAAGAAAGAAAGTAAATAAGCTTGAAAGGTTGATTTGTCTATTCATTTATTTAGATCCCCGTTACCTTAGTAACAACTCCTTATCCTTGGGGCATTGATAAGCGTTGTGTAAAATCAGAGTCCGCTGTACGGGAAAAGGGTTTCTAATATAATGCATATAAAGCTGATCCCCCAACCAATGCAGGTGAGCAGAGCCAGAGGGACGTTTGACAGATGATGGGTAGAACAGGTAATCAACAGGATATAGTGTTGCACTAGCTACTTATGGTTGATTATACCGTCATTTAGCTTAATGAACCTTTACAGTAGTTATTTGTCAGTGTGAGGTAATTAATGAGTTTTTCACATCTGTCTCGTTCATTATCATTATTATACTGTGAGGCTATCCACAGCTTGTTTGCATTGCTTGTGTGTGTGTGGGTTTGTGTGTTTGCATTGCTTGTGTGTGTGTTTGTGTGTTTGCGTTCTCTCACAGCCCATTAAAAGGCATAGAATACCGATAACACAAAGGGAAGAAGCACAGATCTAGACCTGAGCACAGAACATGTTCATATTAAGTCTAACTTTCATCGTTTCTTTCTCTCTCTCTCGAGCTCTCTCTCTCAATTCAATTCAACTCAAAGGGCTTTATTGGCATGGGAAACATATGTTTAAATTGACAAAGCAAGTGAATGAGATAATAAACAAAAGTGAAATAAACAATAAAAAATTAACAAATTAATAGAGACATTTCAAATGTCATATTATGGTCTCTCTCTCTCTCTCTCTCGTTCTCTCTCTCTCTCTCTCTCTCTCTCTCTCTCTCTCTCTCTCTCTCTCTCTCTCTCTCTCTCTCGTTCTCTCTCTCTCTCGTAAATAAAAGTCTCATATCAAATTCTGTTTCGAATTAATTGTTCCTCATGTCTGGCAGACTAAAAGCCTATTGGCAGAGACGAGCCCCTCCCACAGGGGAAACGGGGCTATAGGAGGTGGGATCTGTTTGTGTGCACTACTACGATTGGTGCCCCAGTTGAGGATGATTCTCTAGTGTTGTATACAGTGAGGTCTGAAATAATTGACACCCCTGGTAAAGGTGAGCAATAATAACTGTATAAAATAAATAATTCAAATACTGAGCTATATTATATGCAACAACAAAAAACTGGAAAATTATATTATTTTATACTAATACAATTGTATTAGTATAAAATAATATAATTTTCCAATTTTTTGTTGTTGCATATAATATAGCTCAGTATCAGAGAAAGAGATTTTGTTTAACAAGTAATATATTTTTTTCTCAAAAAGGTAGGAGTCAATCATTGACACCAATTTTCAATACCTTTCATTACCTCACATACGAGGATAACGGCACTGAGCCTTTTTCTAAAATGTTTTATGAGTTGGAGAAGACATTGGGAGGGATCTTAGACCATTCCTTCATACAGAATCCTTCTAGATCCTTGATATCCTTCGTCTGCGCTTATGGACTGCCCTCTTCAATTCAAATCACATGTTTTTAATGGGGTTCAAGTCCGGAGACTGAGATGGTCATTCCAAAATTGACATTGTCTGTCAAATTAACAATATCTTTGTGCCGTTAATTAGTTAATTATGCCGTTGACCATAACAAGGGACCCAGGACCAGTGGAAGCAAAATAGCCCCATAACTTGTATTGGAACCGGTGCTTTGGTCAGATGACATGAAAATAAAGCTCTTTGGCCATGCATACTAGTGGTGGGTTGGGTGTCAAAATGAGAATGCATGAGCAGAAAATAACCCCATACCTACTTTAAAATATGGTGGTGGATCTTTGATGTTATGGGGCTATTTTGCTTCTTCTGATCCGGGGGCCCTTGTTAAAGTCAACGGCATCATGAACTTTACCCAATACCAGGACATTTTTGGCACAAAC